ATAGTATATGGGAGATTGTTTTTTATTTTGGTTAAATATATATTTTTAAAGTTAGTTACTTTGATTGTTTTTTAACTAAAGTGCGACACCGTATAATATTCGTATCGGAAACAATTTTTTGTAATGCTGTCAATGTAAGCCTATTTTAACTGCGAGTTAATTTTTTCTATAACACTTTTTTGCTAAATCTTTATTAATCATTATTGTTAGTAAAACATTTTATTTAAGTGCCTATAAATTATAAAATGACAAAATTGAGATTTTTTTTACAAATTATCTGCAGCTTCTAACTAACTTGCTCTGTAGGTTTTTGTATTATGTCTGTCTGTCTTATCTTTAGCTTCTTACATACTTTATCGTATAGAAATATAACTTATAAGTTACTTATAAACAGGCATATTTCTCAACTGTCGTTCCTTAGTCGTAAGATAATAAATTCTATTTATTAAACAAGATCAAAACTGTGTGTTAATTTGCTTAACTTCCGTAAGAAACCCCATGGCATTACCCTACCCGTAGTGGTTTAATGTATGAAGCTTGTAGATTGTAGAACATTGTGTTCAGACATTGCCTCAATAATTTAATATACTAAAATGCGTATTAATTAAGTCATTCTGATTGTATTATCTTAAAATGATGCTAGTTAATAGGGTATACAGACATAAACACAATACAATTATTTATGGGTTTAATGCATTTAACAATGTGAGGGACATGAGATTATGAGATTGCCTGTTTTTAAATCTCTCAGAATTTATAAACATAGGAAAATTGTTAGCATGAATTAAAATTAGGAATCTTTTTTTTCTGTCAGAGAATAATAAACTTTCTTTCACACACAAATCGAGAATACTTAAAATACTTAAAATTGTATAACATATTAAAAGCAAAGTATTGAAAATCTGTGAAAACTCAGAGGAATTGAAGGTATGTTTCCTAAATATAACTCAAAACACAAACGATTTTCAGGATAAAATATAAAAAGGACGGCGTCGTCCTAAATTATTCATACCGAATTTACCATTAATGTATCCGGATTGTACAAATTACTCGTTTAGGAATCCAAAACATTGTTTATTATACATTTTGTTTGTTTGTTGGATATTAAATATTCATTTTTTACAAACTTCACGTTCTCCTGTTTTTATTTTTGTGGTCACGTGAAACGACAGTGAAAAATAGTTTGAGTTTTAAATTAAAAAAAATACCATAATCTTTCTAATATAAAGATTATATTTTACTATAAAGGTCCTTAAAGAAAAGAATCCTATTATTCCCATTCTCAGTTAACACATTGCTCTGACTCGGCGCAAAGTTATTCATCCACCTATAAACGAAAACTACAAAGGTAAAGCGCTTGTTGTGAATCGAGACAAATAATACTTGAGAGGTAAATTGCTTTTAACATTCGTAACTCCGGCGAGTTTTTATTATATTTAACTGAAGCAAACGTGTCGCTGATACAATGCGTTATAAAGAAAACGTGACGAGTGATATGCCACCACTTACTTAGTGTCATATTAAGAATAACGTATTTACCCTCGTCAAGCTAACTCACCTTCACTGGATCAACAATTTCTATTGGGTCTGATGTGTTCATGAGTCGTATGTAATCATTTATCATTTGACAAGAATTGGTCAGCCATTCGACTCTATATACTGTGCGCATATACGTATTGTTAGAGTTATATGATATTAAAAATAATATTTTTCTTGTATAAGTTAAATGCCATCTAGAGAAGTGGTTCGTTTTAATTATTCAAAGAAACAGGGATAATAACAAAGAAATTATTATGTAGTGATGTAATTTTATTTTACAATATTTTGTGGTTGATTATTATGTTCATGAGAATCTAAAATACCTTTTATATGTATTTATTTAGGGAGTCATTTTGTTTGACACCAGCTTGATCTTCAGACTTAGTCCAAAAAAATTAATTAATCAGAATTTACAAACTACTAACTTGTAACCAGAAGCTTTGCAACTTTGTTCCCTAAATATATGGCTAGAAACTTTATCTAAAATACATAAACCGCAGAAAGTTTTATATAGACATAAACAAATATGAAGTATACATAAAACCTATATAAATAATATAGTGGAATAATACATAACAGTTAAATAACAAAACACTAAACAACGCTGGCAGATTAATAATTATCGTTAGCAGTCTGGAGTTAACACCTACCCGCTGCCGAACGCTTTGTAATTATCTCTTCGAATAGCATTACCATTAACAATTGAGTGTTCCCAAATTGTTGATTACCTCAAACGTTTCTTGTTCAGAAAATAATATTCTTTAATTTCCCTTCATCTGTTCAAAGTTTATTCGACTTTCTCTTAAATTTTAATTAAACAATCAGTAATATTATATATAATGTACTTTTAATCATCTGAAAATTTGAATTTAATTGCTTTTTGATTTAATATTTTATTTGCATTTATAAAAGCTTCATTTAAAGCACCATTACTATAAATCGCGTGTCTTATCGCGATAATTCAAAACAAATGATTAATAACATCCATTTACAATTTATATTTGAAACATTCATTAACAATTTTAATTAAAATTATTGTTGGATGGTTAACATTTAACAAATATTTAATACGTCAGTGATGTGGATACATCACTGTGTAAAACGGAACGTTGTATTAATTCTTGTGTCATTTAAAAAGTGAAAGCTTGTAGTTGTAAGGTAAGACAAGTTCCGTTTTTACGATACACAAAAATATATACGATATAACGATATGGAAAGGTGAGGTCGGTTGAATAATATATGAGTATTGGATACATACTTGACCTAGTGTACATTTTTTATATAGATATAGTTTAGATGGATAGCTAAAACTATTTTTGGTGTATAAAATAATATTACGTAAGACATAAATAGATAAACATTCTTTTTAAAATAAACCTTTGTAAAATAGAAGTAGATCATTTTATGTAAATTGAAATTTATATGTCAGACTATTTCAAAAGACACTTGAGAATAAATGTTCCGATAGGTTGCAATTACATAATAATAATAAAACGATAGATTTATTAAAATTTATATTCATCAATTAATATAATTTAATAAATCAATGTCATAATAATATAAATCTCATAATTTGTTTAATTTATATAGAATTAAATAAAAGCGTCCCTTATCGAAGTGACAAAGTTTCCTTGAATATTAAAGACCTGTATTTAATAATGATTATAAATCTAAATCAACTGGGCCTTGGGGTGCTATAATTCTGCGGCCTAGGGGTCACGAGACTTAGAATCTACTATTGAGAAATTGCTTTTAAGTTTACTTATACGGTTGACTAAACACGAATAAGGCTTTGATTTAAAAAATGCGATTTTAAAAGTAAGTTTAATGCATAATATATTTAAAAACACTTATTTTTACTCAACGATCGTGATAAAAACTTATTGTCCACGCTTTCACAGTTGAACTAAATGGCGTCTTGGCCGAATCGCTTCACTTTTTATACTTTATACCAACAAAAGAAACGGCACAGCTAGAGTCAAATCATTATTAACAGTAAATAAAGTATGGAAGTAATTTCTTCTAAGAAGTTTTTACGTAAGAAATAATTGATTTTAAAATTAACGTTTATGTCTGTGAACTTATTTATTCATTGTTTACAAATATTTCGAATACAACCAGATTAAAACTCATGATCTATTAAAACGAAGGCACTACTATTTGATATGATAATATATCCAAACATTTTTTTTTTGTTATTCACATATTCAAATTGATATGATATTAACAAGAGAACACATGTCATAAAAATATTTAACTACACGAATTAATTTTCTCAAAAATTGGAATAAGAAAATGTTAAGAGTAATTAAAAATACAGACCCAATATTTTACTTTAATTATTTCGACTTTTAAGATAATTCTTAATTTCCGTCGACTGTTATAAATATCTGATTTTGTTCAGTGTTTCGTTGGAATATCAATGATATCATTGTTTGTTTCTTATCCAAAAATTACTAAAATATTTTAAATCAACAAAATATTACATACTGTAATAAATAATAAACATACAAGAATAATATTTGAAATCAATTATAAATATGTATATACTAAAGAAGAGTTATATATTTTTGTACGGATATAATATAAATAGTAATAAATCATAAGGTTCTTATTTTCCAAAAAATTCAAACGATGTAGTCGTGACGAACCCGGCACCCGCACGGTGAATTCATGGAATGCTGCGAAGTTTTATCTCCCTCCAACTACCTATATACCTAAATAAAACTTTTTCTGGCTTAACTTGATAAGTTCAAATTTAATATTTTAATTAAAAAAATATCTACGTCTAAATACTCCGGATGTTACATTAGAATAATATTACAAATTATTTATCTGATTGCAAATCAAATAAAAATAAATAAAAAAGCAATGTTCTACAACATTTTCTTTCCAGCTTGCGATTACGCCAGAGTTAATTAATGTATGTGAATACAATTGTGTTGAGTATAAAGTGAGCGTTGTTTGCTCTGCTTTATATTCCAATGTAATTTTAGCATATGTTTAACATTTATGAATGAAATTAGAGGCGTAAAGCGGAATTGTCATCAACGTGTATCCTTTAGAGATTACTGTCAAAGGTTAAATAAAACAATACATTTTTTTCGTATAACTTAATTCATTCGTTTATGTATCACAATTGAATAGAATTGTTTTAAAACGATTTTGATTTGACCTTCATTTAAAATAGGTTATAAAACATTAACAGTCCATTTTAAGCATGGTTGCTAAATTACATTTTTGACTTAAAATTTATTTAATATATAAATAGTTTTATATTACCAACAAAGAGTGCTACAGCATTATTTTTAAGCCTATAATAAAATTACATTCTAATAATCCTATACAATTTTATGTATATTTTTACTTTACAATTTCAATTAGCTCTAAATTTTTTTACAAGCCATTTACATCACTTAATTTTATCACATTCCAATAAATAAATAGAGTTTATATTTAGACTATATCAAGAAATATTCTGGACCGACATATGAACCGCATTTGGGAAAATCTGCGGGAGCTTGAACGAAATCTCTTTGATCTCCGACTTTTAAAACAAAATCCAAGCCCCTAGTCCAATGAGCTGATCTTTCGTCCCTCATCATCCAGTAACCGGGGTTATCCGCCTTGAACCTCAAGGCGACGACACCGAATTTAGGAATGACTATCGTATCTTTTCTCACTGGGTCATCGAGATTCTTTGTGGGGAACAGCGTACCATCTTGATTCATTTTCATCACAGTTTCTTTTTCCAATCTCGTATCCATTTGACGAACTCCAGTGACATAGAAACTGTAGCCGTGGAGATGGAAAATATGATCTGATTCCCCTCCTGAAATTAAAAATAATATTTTAAGCAAATTTTTAATTAATATTACGAAAGGAAACTTATCAATACACATAATATGTATAGTTTATCATAAGTTTACAGACAATATAAATATACTTCAATGACACATTCAACCTCTTTGAACTCAAGTTTGGTATTGAATAAGTCCCAATTATATTGGAAACAAATCTTACTCAAAACATGTTTTCTGCTGAACCCCATATCTTTGTTGTATCTCACAATAGACCAATTTTGTTCGTCGAAGCGAACATAAAGCCTTGTTACCAAGGTGTCTAATCGTTGTAATGATTAGACATATTTTATATAAAATTTGCATATCATAACATTTTACAATAACAAGAGAAATTCAAACACCTTGTTACACAGTAAAGGTGGCTTTCTTTATTTAAATCTTTCATACAATACACATTGTATAAGCTATAAATATTCCGAGGTAGTCATCTGCTTTTAAATATTCAATGGTTTATTATAACAATGTTACGTTTTATGTAACTTTGTATCGCAACAAAAACTTTGTAACCTACGCAGATGGTACGCAGATACTGATCTATAAAAACGTAAGAAAAACTATAAATATATAACTGTAAACGACTCGTTTTCTGAACTTTAATGAACTAGAGCTAATATTTTTCTTCGAATATTTAATAATTCATAGACTTGAGAATTAATTACATTTATTTCAGATCTGTCCAAGTTAGGTATTACTTAAAATATTGCAATATTAATGTGTACGGATGACTATAAATACTCATTATGCAAGGTTCTGTTACACGATGATATTATTCAGACTTCAGAGACGTTGAATTCACAGTAAAATTAGTGAACTGTTTATATAACGTCCAGGACACAACTCAGATATTCCTTTTACACAGCAAGTGGGGCAGCTGCGTTCGTATCTCGTTAATAAATCAAGATTCATTCGTTCTTCTGAATGATTTATATCACATGCTTTGTCTGGCTTGAGATACTTTGCGGAGATTTTTAAAACAGCACTTTCATACAGAAAATATTATAATATTTAAATTAATATATCACATAAGAAATCTCGTTTTATCTATAAAAAATTAATCATGGTATCGCTAACATAAAATCATGTTTACGTAATATTAAAGTTATATCACCATAGTATGAATTATTTATTTAATATGTATGCTAAATTTACCTAAAAACTGACCTAGCAAGAACCGGTTTAACGAGAACATTTTACAACATCCGCTATATTTACAACAACCTTGTTGAAATAAACCATATGAACAAACATAATTTTATAACTTAACTTAATTTAACTCAAATTAATTGCATTAAGTTTAATTATAACCGCATTTATATGAAAGATTCTCGATTATTTTCTTTTGTATAGAACTTAAAGGAAAAAATATCATAAATAGTAAAATATAAAGCAACATTGAAGTTATTTTCATGAAGGTCATAAGTAATGTTATACTCTTAGTTTGAATCGATTTCATTAGAGTAATTTTTGGAATGTTCAGTTAAGAAATAAAGATTTCTAACATTACTAAAACAACCGCTATCTGTATAAAAGACGCGTGATACATATCATTTGCATTAAATTAAACATAAACCTTAATACATATGCCTATGTATAAGTATATCGAATTATCTTGTTATAAATAGAAAGCCGCCTCTGGTGATCAAGTGTTGAGTTTCTTTGAAATGTATATTAGATAAATATTTCCGTCACAGACTGCATTGATCTATGTCGGTTATTTCTTCGTCAATTTGAAGTCTATTTGTTAGCTAACAGACTTATATAAAATCGAGATGCTATTAGATAATTGAGGCAGGAGACAGATGTTATATTATTATAAATTAATAAAGCTGCTTGTGAACTAAATAGTAATAAAATTTCCTTTGAAGTATCCTAAAATTTACATCAGCAACATCTGTCTTTACAATATTAAATAAAGTAAATCATGTACAAAGAACGTATTTAATTTGGCAATATTTATAAAGACGTCTTTAAGACATAAATATTTAGCAAGCAATTCTTGTTCAAATATGTAGGAGGGCGTTGTAAGAACAGGAGGGCCTTCATTGGAACTCATACTTTGAAAGGGATAAAGTACAGTCTATTCAATACGACACCAACTCAATCGAAACACTAGATATCACTATCACTTCGATACACAGCGATTCGTCACGAGCGCGGTGCGCGGGCGTCATCTCGCACGATACTCCATAATAAAGATGGCCGCCCTCGCTACCATCACAATGACGCTTCACTAGGCTAACCTCAGACAGCTAAAAGTCAACCTGACGTATGATTTTTGACGGATGCGCCGTCACGGCCGGACTGACATCCGACCGTCCTCGGGCGATTCTCGGATCAATGAACTACAGGTGTGTCTATTCCGTTCGGCATCCTGACAAACGACTAGTTACAATCATCAAAATGTGCTATGATACTTAAGACTTAAGGCGAACATCACGTAACAATTAAGCCGGACGACAACGCCTTGTCACTTAACAGCATGTAGGTTAACTGTTCACAATTAGTAGGTACTATTGGACAGGTCGGTCCTTTGGTGGATGTGACCCGGACGACAACATTCGTCTTACCACGATACTCAAAATATTCAGAACAAGTCAGCCAACGTAAATGGATCTGAACCGGACGACAACATTCGTCTTACTACCGTCTGCAGAGCATCCAGAACAAGTCAGCCAACGTAAATGGATCTGAACCAGACGACACCATTCGTCTTACTACAGTCTGCAGAGCATCCAGGACAAGTCAGCCAACGTAAATGGCTCTGACTCGGACGACAATATTCGTCTTACCACAATCTGCAGGGGTTCCAAGACAAGTCAGCCAACGTAAATGGATCTGACCCGGACGACACTATTCGTCTTACCACAATCTGCAGAGCAACCAGGACAAGCCAGCCAACGTAAATGGCTCTGACTCGGACGACAATTTTCGTCTTACCACAATCTGCAGGGGTTCCAAGACAAGTCAGCCAACGTAAATGGATCTGACCCGGACGACACTATTCGTCTTACCACAATCTGCAGAGCAACCAGGACAAGCCAGCCAACGTAAATGGCTCTGACTCGGACGACAATTTTCGTCTTACCACAATCTGCAGAGGTTCCAGGACAAGTCAGCCAACGTAAATGGATCTGACCCGGACGACAACTTTCGTCTGACCAATCTGCAGAGCATCATCACACACATATCAGTGAACAATGATCGAGACGTAGACTCCAATGAGCTAGCCCCATCATCTCCACTACTTATACTCATGTGAGTGAACGATGACCCGGACATAGACTCCACCGAGCTAGCCCGTCCATCTCCACTAGCCAAACTCATGTGAGTGAACGATGACCCGGACATAGACTCCACCGAGCTAGCCCGTCCATCTTCACAACCTGATCAAGCGTCGACCGGACGTGGACTCCATCGAGCCAGCCCCTGCACGCTTTGATCCATCACTACTAGAAACATCGGCCGCATCAGCCAGTTCCATCGCCACCTCAAACACACCAACTCAAACTTACACAACTCATTTATGGTTTATCAATGTTGGAGGCCATCAGAGCTACTCACTTTCATCATCTGATAAAGCTTCGTTTCCATTCTCTCCACTCCATGACCCGCCGTCTCGGCCTCCTCATTACCTAGTTCAGTGGATATGTCAACTAAGCCTTCAAAGCCTCTGGGTACTGCGCGCAAGTTTTCATGAGAGTATTTTAAAGTGTGATTAGATTCATCGGTATGTTTCAGTTCGTACCTATCGTTGTCTAGAATTTTAATTATGATAAAAGGTCCCCTAAACTTTCTTTGTAGTTTAGTTTGGTAACACTCGCTACACTTAACAAAAACGTAATCTCCCCGAGAAAGAAAAGAAGGTTTTACTTGGGCTTTGCCTTTATTAAATTTAACTACTTCCTTTTGATCTGCGTTTTCAGTGTTGAGGGAAGTTTTATTCCGGATATTGTCTAAATCTAATCTCGGCTCGTCTGAATTTTGGGCTATTAATGATATCCCTAAAGATTGCGCGCGTATGCCAAACATTAGTTCTGTTGGAGTATATCCTGTAACCCTACGGCTTGTGTTATTAAGTGCTAGATGACTCTCCCAGACCAGAGCAATTCAGTAAGATGGGGTAAAGGTACCGAAAACACTTGCTATATCTGCGGAAAGGCAGTTGGAACTGCTAAGCATTTGCTAGTGAGATGTAAGGTTCTCCTGGACAGCGGTCAACTCTCGCGTCGTCACTATAGGGTTTTAGAGATCATACGTGAAGCGGCCAGTCTTTCGGTAGCCAGAGCGCAAAGGGAAACAACCACAAACGAACGATCAATAGGTTTTATGAGAGAGAGCACCAGGGCTACAAAATCAAACGTCAAGCCTTACTCTATCCTTAAAGCGGCTTCGGATTAGACTATCATGATGGATACGTGTGAGAAACAACACAAAATCCCCGAGGATATTTGTGCGTCAGCCTCTAGACCAGACATATTTCTATATTCGCGTATTTCAAAGCGCGTTGTCATTAAGTATTACGAGCTCACTAACGAACTAACTCGAAATAGGTTCGTCGCTGATTCGTACGCGGTAGAGGTGGGAGCGAGAGGTATAACAGCTAAATCTCTCTACAACCTACTAAAAGACTTGGGCCCGTCCAGAACTAACATTAATTCATTCTTGGAACGTATGTCGAATTCAGCCCTAGTAGGTTCAATTAGTAGTAGTTTTCAAATTTGGCTAGGTAGGGAGAGGAACTTGGACAGTGGAGGTGAGCGTACAACGCGCGTTAGTTAAAGGGGCCCCTTAAACCCACACCTGGGTCGCAAGTCCCCGGCACTGCTGAAGCTCCCCTCCCTGCAACGCGATGGACCCGGCACCCGCACGGTGAATCCATTGAATGCTAAGAGGTTTCGTCCCTTGTACCTCAGGAAGTTTGTCACGCCACGTTTTATGGGTATCGTTTTCTATAATAGTTAGCAGACAT